AGTTACTCTTAAGCAACCCTGAGACATGTTGCTTGAATGCACTGTTTAGTTTGGTTATCTGAATGGCAGATTTTGATTCAAACTGGCAATAAGTCAGCCTTTCTCTCTCTCTCTCTCTCTCTCTCTCTCTCTCTCTCTCTCTCTCTCTCTCTCTTTCCTCTTTCCCTCCCTCCCTCCCTCCCTCCCTTCTTCCTTCCTTCCATCTCTCTCTCTCTTTCTCCTTATTCTGGTGAAGGAAGTGAAAAAATGAACGCCTTTGTCATAAAATAGTGCCACAGTATGAACATGTCACATGATACTGTTAATTGCATGTGACAGTAATCCAATATTTGACATAAAAATCATTTGCTTTATTATAAGTTTTTAGATTAGAAAGGCTCCAGATTAAAAAGTTATAGAACCATTTGATCTTTTAAGATTAGTTCACAGTCAGCATTGTTGAAACAGATCCACGCTTGTTTATTTCCTAAGTTCTCTTGACAATATGTCTCTCATAAAACAGACTTTATGATGCTTCCAGCAGATCTCTTATATCGAAAACTTGAAAGGACGCTTGTGGAGCATTTATTTTTCTTTTTCTAGGAAAAGCAAAGCAGAAAGCAACCATTGCCTCCTGCTGAAAGCATAACAGGGCAGGCAGGTTTTATGCCCCCATGGGACTGACCCCAGTCCAGGGCTCAAATTTCAAACAGGATTGTATGCTCTGTGTGTATTTTAGGACTAGACCTAGGACATGGATAGATTCCGTGAACACAGAAAAATCTTCATGTGGTAGTTAATATTGTCAGCTTTGTCAGCATCTGGAAACATCTAGGACACAAACCTCTAACCATTGCCTGTGAGGGATTACTTAGGTTGGCTTAGTCCCTACCCTTGATGGTGGAATTATCTTGTTTAGTCCTAACGGTGGTGGGAAGATCCATCCTTAAAGTGGGTGGTACTACTCGTGTGGGCCAGGGTCTTGGGCTGAGTAAAAGAGAAAGGTGGATGAGCAGCAAGCAGTCATTGTTTTCTGCTTCCTCCGACTGAGGATGCATGCAGCATGATCAGCTGCAAGCTTCTGCCACCAGACTTCCCTGCCATGATGGACTATACCCTGCAACCATGAGTCAAAATCCTTCCAACCCTAGGTTGCTTTTATCAGGGTATTTTATCACAGCAATGGGAAAGCAACTAAGGCTCATGATGAAGCATGATTTATTCCATTTTGTCCCTACTTCAGAATTATACATTCATAAGTCTTGAATTTCTAATTCCCATTCATTTTTTCCAAGTTCTAGTATTGTAACACATCCCAAATCTTGGGTTCTAGATTACAGTCCTGGTGACCCCCATTCAATATATGACTTTGATGCATATTAGAGTCTTGTATGACTTTGATGCATACTAGATTCAGTGCTAGAATAACCTGGCATGTTACAATGGCAGCAATCTCAATGCATGTGGAATAATGTGTTTTTTCTTAATTTGCCCTTAAGGAGAGAAGAAACCCTTCACTAGTTCAGTTCAACAGACGTGTAGGGACTTAAATGTCTTGTTCAGTTGTTTGGGCTTTGTAGTCAATGTTTTCTCACCCACAAACAATGTCGATTTCTTTAGAAGGTCAGTGTTGTCAGTGTTGTCTTCCCAAAGTATGGAAGACGGCAGTGAACACTCAACATAGGAAGAGAATGTCTCAATTCTTCCTAAAGAGTTTCTCACCCTGATGAGTTGTGGATAAGGTCCAGGTGGCAGAGATGCAGCATTGTTCACAGCACCTTCCTTTCTGAAGTTGATCTCACAGGGCTTAGCAGCTAGGTGCTGCCTGTTTCTCTGGCAGTTGCTGTCCTGGCAACATCCTTACCTTCTTCTGTGGTCCTTCTAATGTTGGCCAGCATAGCAAAGTTCTCACTCTACCCACCAGGAGACCATTGATAGTGATGTTTCTCTTAAGTATTAATGCCTTTCAGAAATCATTTAAAACATCCTTGAATTATGCTAGGGAAGTAAGTACAACAATATTAAGGAACTAGGAAAGTGGCTTAGAATAAATATAAATTCCACTCCAATGAAGCAGAAATGGTTGGATCTGAAGAACTAGAGATGATTCCCCCACCCCTCACCCCAAAAAGAAAAGGGTTGCTTTGACTGTGTCCCATAGATTTTGGTATGTTATGATTTCATTTTCATTTAGTCATAAGAATTTTGTTTTCCTTCTTGACTTTATCCTTGGCCCATGTATCAGTATTGTTTAGTTTCCACATTTGTGTACTTTCGGTAGTTTCTACTGTGGTTGATATCCAGCTTTATTCCATTGTAGTCATACAGAATGCAGGATATGACTTCAATTTTCCTATATTTGTTGAATCTTGCTTTGTGCCCTAATATATGCAGATCTATTTTGAAGAAAGTTTCATCATCTGCTGAGAAAAAAAATGTGCATTCATTAGTATTTGGATGAAATGCTCTTTAGGCACCTGGTGGTCAGGCTTTTCCCTAAGGTTTTTAATTGGTTTATTGAGTTTTTCATTTGCAGCATTATTTCACATTATATTACGATCATATCTGGAAATAGAAGGGCTAGGATAAGCCAAAGCTCTTCCATCTCCATTCTCACAGGTCCATTTGTTCTTGGCTAGAGATGGGACCCTTTCTGTTCATCATTACACATAGACCAAGACCAAGCTTTTAAGTTGATGAGAACATACACTTGAAGGCACTTCAAAATGTTTCCCAGCTAATATGTCATAGTTTAAATTCTAGGGAGGGAGGGAGAGAGAAAAAACAGAGGGAGAAAGATGTGTGTGTGTGTGTGTGTGT